AGACGGGACACCACGAGCGTAGCTCTCATCCTGTAACTACACTTAGGTAATTACACTTAGGTAATTACTCACACAGTCAGCTGATGGCTGCCGCCCTCAAGACCAGACGCACTAATATTTCTCCTCCAACAATATTGTTTGTGGTGTTATTACGCTATATACACACATTATATATAAGTATCTACCTGTTTTATTCACCATACCTGTACAAATAAGCTGGTATGGTGCCCAAAGACCATAGTGGCCATCAGTAAACAACATGACAAGTCTTGCAGACGACGCTCCTCCCTCACCAAAATGGCGGCTCCCAATCTACTCCTCTTGCTGTTATCTCACACTATACACACGTTATATATAAGTATCTACATTTGTGTTCACCATAGCAAACCACTAAGCTGGTATGGTGAGTGCAGTCAATAAATGGTGGCCACACACAGTCAGAAGACGACGCCACAACCCTCCCTCCCACAGCCTTACTCCTCCCTCCATGGAGCACAGCATTAAATATCACCACAATCCTGCTATTATCAGAATCCTGGTCAGTTTTATCACAGTCAGGGCTTCAGTAATATTATCACTGCTAAATAATAGCAGTGTCATATATATTATGGCATTTGTAGGCGATGCTGTGGTCACAAACTGAACAGCGGTGCTGTGAGCTCGTGCTGCGTGCGCCAGCCTTGGTGGCTTGCTCAATACTGACGCTGTAACACCCAAGAATGTTGGCCTGGATTTTTTTTCTAGGTGGCATCTGGCAACTATCGGTTGTGGCTGTACTATAGCTGCCCCTATCCCAGGCGAGGCATTTAAATTATAGCGCTAGACACGAAATCATATATATATGATGTGTGCGGTTTCGGTTTTGTCACTGATATATATATATATATGATTTGCGCAGTTTAAGGGTAAATATTTCAGTAAATTATTTAATTATTTATTTGATGATTTTCATTTGTTTCCACCTGTGACTTACAAACTGCAAGGCCAATAGCAGCCTTTTTTTTTTTTATTTGTGTGAGGGAGAACCATATAATTTTGGTTCAGTATAGCTGCGATATCACAACCTGTCACAATATGCACAGCTCTAATTATGACAACAATCCTGCTATTATCAGAATCCTGTTTTTTTTTTTATCAAAGTCAGGGGTCATCTGTAATACTATCATTGCTAAATAATATCAATTACATATTTATTTTGATAATTTTAGGCAATGCTGTGGTCACAAGCTGAACAGCAGTGCTGTTAGCTCATGCTGCGTGCACCAGCCTTGGTGGCTCACTCATTACTGAGGCTCTCACACCCGGGAATGTTGCCCACGATATTTTTTTTTAAATGGTGTCTGTTTACATCAGCCCTGAGGAAGCTGATGTGAACCCCATGTAGCCGCGGGACTTATAAATCTTGCGTGGTATTCCAACACATCAATAGTTGTGGTGCGCAATTCTGCAACAGTTACTCACCACAGCTATTGATGTGCTGTGCAATTTAAGGGTTAAAACTGTAGCAGCTTAAGGGTGGAGGGTCACAGTACCATGTACCTGTTTGTATCATGTTAACACGGTACCATGTACCTGCTCACCCTATGTTAACACAGTACTGTACCATATACCTGCTCACCCTATGTTAACACAGTACTGTACCATGTACCTGCTCATCCTATGTTAACACAGTACTGTACCATGTACCTGCTCATCCTATGTTAACACATTACTGTACCATGTACCTGCTCTCCATATGTTAACACAGTACTGTACCATGTACCTGCTCATCCTATGTTAACACAGTACCATATACCTATTCACCCTATGTTAACACAGTACCGTATACCTGCTCACCCTATGTTAACACAGTACCATATACCTGCTCACCCTATGTTAACACAGTACCATATACCTGCTCACCCTATGTTAACACAGTACCATATACCTGCTCACCCTATTTTAACACAGTACCATGTACCTGCTCACCCTATGTTAACACAGTACCATGTACCTGCTCACCCTATGTTAACACAGTACCATGTACCTGCTCACCCTATGTTAACACAGTACCATGTACCTGCTCACCCTATGTTAACACAGTACCATATACCTGCTCACCCTATGTTAATACTGTACCATGTACCTGCTCACCCTATGTTAACACTGTACCATGTATCTGCTCTCCGTATGTTAACACAGTACCATATACCTGCTCACCCTATGTTAATACTGTACCATGTACCTGCTCACCCTATGTTAACACTGTACCATGTACCTGCTCACCCTATGTTAACACAGTACCATGTACCTGTCTCTCTATGTTAACACAGTACCATATACCTGCTCACCCTATGTTAACACAGTACCATATACCTGCTCACCCTATGTTAACACTGTACCATGTACCTGCTCTCCGTATGTTAACACAGTACCATATACCTGCTCACCCTATGTTAACACAGTACCATGTACCTGCTCACCCTATGTTAACACAGTACCATGTACCTGCTCACCCTATGTTAACACGGTACCATATACCTGCTCACCCTATGTTAACACAGTACCATGGCCCTGTTCACCCTATGTTAACACAGTACCATGTACCTGCTCACCTTATGTTAACACAGTACCATGTACCTGCTCACCCTATGTTAACACGGTACCATATACCTGCTCACCCTATGTTAATACTGTACCATGTACCTGCCCACCCTATGTGAACACAGTACTATGTACCTGCTCACCCTATGTTAACACAGTACCATGGCCCTGTTCACCCTATGTTAACACAGTACTATGGCCCTGTTCAGTTCAGCCTATGGTAACACAGTACCATGGCCCTGTTCACCCTATGGTAACACAGTACCATGGCCCTGTTCACCCTATGTTAACACAGTACCATGGCCCTGTTTACCCTATGTTAACACAGTACCATGGTCCTGTTCACCCTATGTTAGCACAGTACCATGGCTCTGTTCACCCTATGTTAACACAGTACCATGGCCCTGTTCACCCTATGTTAACACAGTACCATGGCCCTGTTCACCCTATGTTAACACAGTACCATGTACCTGTTCACCCTATGTTAACACAGTACCATGGCCCTGTTCACCCTATGTTAACACAGTACCATGTACCTGTTCACCCTATGTTAACACAGTACCATGTACCTGTTCACCCTATGTTAACACAGTACCATGGCCCTGTTCACCCTGGGGCCTCGGGCCTGGTGGGGCCCACCAGGGGCGGGTGATGGGGCCTCATAGCCTGGTGGATAGCGCGCAGGACTCGTAATTCTGTGGCGCGGGTTCGATTCCCGCATGAGGCAGAAACAAATGGGCAAAGTTTCTTTCACCCTGAATGCCCCTGTTACCTAGCAGTAAATAGGTACCTGGGAGTTGGTCAGCTGTCACGGGCTGCTTCCTGGGGGTGGAGGCCTGGTCGAGGACCGGGCCGCGGGGACACTAAAAAAAGCCCCGAAATCATCTCAAGATAACCCTATGTTAACACTGTACCATGGCCCTGTTCACCCTATGTTAACACTGTACCATGGCCCTGTTCACCCTATGTTAACACTGTATTATGGCCCTGTTCACCCTATGTTAACACTGTACCATGGCCCTGTTCACCCTATGTTAACACTGTACCATGGCCCTGTTTACCCTATGTTAACACTGTACCATGGCCCTGTTCACCCTATGTTAACACTGTACCATGGCCCTGTTCACCCTATGTTAACACTGTACCATGGCCCTGTTCACCCTATGTTAACACTGTACCATGGCCCTGTTCACCCTATGTTAACACTGTACCATGGCCCTGTTCACCCTATGTTAACACTGTACCATGGCCCTGTTCACCCTATGTTCATACAGTACCATGGCCCTGTTCACCCTATGTTAACACAGTACCATGGCCCTGTTCACCCAATGTTAACACTGTACCATGGCCCTGTTCACCCTATGTTCATACAGTACCATGGCCCTGTTCACCCAATGTTAACACTGTACCATGGCCCTGTTCACCCTATGTTCATACAGTACCATGGCCCTGTTCACCCTATGTTAACACTGTACCATGGCCCTGTTCACCCTATGTTCATACAGTACCATGGCCCTGTTCACCCTATGTTAACACTGTACCATGGCCCTGTTCACCCTATGTTCATACAGTACCATGGCCCTGTTCACCCTATGTTCATACAGTACCATGGCCCTGTTCACCCTATGTTAACACAGTACCATGTACCTGCTCACCCTATGTTAACACAGTACCATGGCCCTGTTCACCCTATGTTAACACAGTACCATGGCCCTGTTCACCCTATGTTAACACAGTACCATGGCCCTGTTCACCCTATGTTAACACAGTACCATATACCTGCTCTCCCTATGTTAACACAGTACCATGGCCCTGTTCACCCTATGTTAACACTGTACCATGTACCTGCTCACCCTATGTTAACACAGTACCATGGTCCTGTTCTCCCTATGTTAACACAGTACCATGGCCCTGCTCACCCTATGTTAACACAGTACCATGGCCCTGTTCACCCTATGTTAACACAGTACCATGGTCCTGTTCACCCTATGTTAACACTGTACCATGGCCCTGTTCACCCTATGTTAACACTGTACCATGGCCCTGTTCACCCTATGTTAACACTGTACCATGGCCCTGTTCACCCTATGTTAACACTGTACCATGGCCCTGTTCACCCTATGTTAACACTGTACCATGGTCCTGTTCACCCTATGTTAACACTGTACCATGGCCCTGTTCACCCTATGTTAACACTGTACCATGGCCCTGTTCACCCTATGTTAACACTGTACCATGGCCCTGTTCACCCTATGTTCATACAGTACAATATATCTGCTCATACTATGTTGATCCAGTATCATACTCCTCTTTAATAACATACAACTAGATCAATGATTTAAAAAATGTCTTGCTATACACTTTTGTACATCTAAATAATAAGAAAACTTTACATTATTAAAGTTAAGCTGTTTCACCTTGATCTTTGTGGGGAAGGTACATGTTGCCACACTTATCAATCCCTTTAGAACTCTTGTGTAGCATTCCTGCATAAATTTAGTTGGGGTGCCAAAGTGCAGGGTACGAGTCACATCTGTTGTTCCATCCCTGCAACAAAGAAAATACTGTATATTTATTTTATAACACCCATTTTTTTTTGTCATTTATGCAAGATCTGTATTGCATTTTTGGTTTCAGTTTTGGCAAAAATGTTGAGTACACTATTTTCATACTAGATAATGCAATCAATTAATTAAAGACCTCCAAATATTGAATGCTTCCAAATAATGTACAAGACAAATGTTGAATGTAACAAAACACCAGTTCCTTGGTGGGCCCCGGAGGCTTCCTAAAGCTATCCGAACTGATATCGTGCTATATTAGTTTGGGGTCATCAGTCACAGAGTCCTTTTGCCTACCGGGACCACGAGCCAGAATCTGGCTACCTTAGGGAGACGTGGGGAACAATGGCCAATGAGCACATTACATTTAAAGTATGTCATACTTGCCATCAACCAGGGAAGGCACCCAGAAAGCCAGCAGCCCACCACCTTAGTTCTTGAATGATGAAAGCTGCCAACCAAAGGAAGGGAGGGTGTCAGGGAGTCTCCAGTGCTCACCCAGAAACTGGCATTTTATTACATTCAAAGCTGGTTTTCTGGAAGGAGCTCCTTCAACTCCCTGAGCTAACTACCCGCAAAGAAGACAAACAGGAACTAACTTGGAAGGGGGGAGGGGGGGAACACCACAGGTCTCAAAGTGAGGAAGAGACAGACAGCCGCGACAGGCACATCAAGGCCATACAAGGCCGCGAAGGAGCCGAGACATCCACGAGATACCTAGCGGCCAGGAGCTTGCTCAACCTCCAAAACCTCCGCTCCTGAATATCAACCCAAGACATACCACCAAAAATTGCCAAAAAGAGTTGCATACCAGTGCAAATCACAAGTGCAAGGGTAGACCGCAGGTTAGCTAAATAGAATGACACTGCAGGCAACCTGAGAAAGATATGCCCTGGAACAGGGAACCAGGGAAACCACATCAACCTAAAGAGCGTACACCGACATAAAACCAGTGGCCCGCATGTAGTAGTGTAAAGGACCTCTCTGGAAACCAGCCGTCTTGTCCTTCCTAGATAAAAGAGGATGGCTACAAGCAAACAAATGACCACCAGGACCAAAAAATAAAAAACTACAGCGCCGGAGAAGAGCATGAAGCTCCCCAACCCGAGAAACAGAGGCCAACAAAAAACCAGCGTTGAATGTAATGAAATGACATTTTCTGGGCAAGGCCCGGAGGCTCTCCGGAGCTATCCAGGCTGATATGTATATCCCTAATTTTTGGCATCAGTCAGTGTGGATGGAGTTCCAGGCCTACGAGCCACAACCTGGCTCCCTCAGAGAGGCACGAGGAGCAATAGCCTATAGAAGTAATTACCTAAGTGTAATTACCTAAGTGTAGTTAAAGGATGAGAGCTGTAGTGCACATGATTTGGAGCCATCTATATCTGCCATTGACCGGGACAGGCACCCAGAAAGGTAAGCACCTCAAAACAAACCCCTATTCTTGTTACAACAACAAAAATAGTCAAATGAGTGGACAGAACTTCCCAAATGAAAACGAGCAATAAAGCATGACGTCACACAATAGTAACAGGAATTGATAAAATCAATAGGGAAGATTTCCTGAGACCTGGAACTTTAAGAACAAGAGGTCATAGATTTAAACTAGTTAAACACAGATGCTGAAGAAATATAAGAAAATTCACTTTTGCAAACAGAGTGGTAGACGGTTGGAACAAGTTAGGTGAGAAGGTGGTGGAGGCCAAGACCGTCAGTAGTTTCAAAGCGTTATATGGCAAAGAGTTCTGGGAAGACTGGACACCACGAGCATAGCTCTCATCCTGTAACTACACTTGGGTAATTACACAAGCTATGCCGCCTGTCTGTGCAGCTCCCCCCTCCCTGGGAGGGAGAAGGACCCACTGCACCAACGATCCAACCATAAGTTCTTAGGCTGGATGTCAAAACATGCAAAAAACCGGCTACTAGGGTTGGGGGGGGAGGGGGTAACAGGGAAGCCTCCGAGACTCGCCCAGAAAATGGGGTTTCATTACATTCAACGCTGGTTTTGTGGGGGAGCCCCTTCAGCTCCCCGGAGCTACTCCACCAAAGACAAAAACTAGGGGGACATACCCAGGAGGCGGCCGGTGCTCACATCTCAACTCGAAGCAGGGACAACAGGCTTCAACTGCCTACCCAAAGTGACAAAGGCCCGATGAGGCCCAGGAATATTCACAAGGTAGCGTGCAGCCAGGACCCTGTTCGACCATCAAAAACCCCGTGCCTGAATGTCAGCCCAAGACATGTTACCGAAGACGGCAAGCAGCAAACTTATGAACGTCATGGGCAAGTAGGACAGACCGCAGGCTGGCTGGACTGAATAACCCTGCAGACAACCTGAGAGACCCGAACCCAGGAACAGGGAAGAAGGGAAACCGGATCAGCCCAAAGTGTGTCCCCGGCCACCGAAGCTGTGGCGTGCAAAGAACAGCGGAGCGCCACAACCGGATACAACACATGATGAACCCCCTGCCTGATCAACTAAGCATCAACAACCCAATGGTCCCTCTGGAAAGCAGCAGTCTCATTCTTCACCAGAAAAGAAGGAGACGCCTGCAACTGAACAAACCAAACACCAGGACCAAAAGAGCAAAAACCAACGCACCGGAGGAGAGCATGAAGCTCCCGACCCGACCCCCAGAGGCCAATGCCAACAAGAAAAGAGCCTTACAAAAACAATACGAGAGCACCTTGTCCAAAGATTAGGATGGCTCAGGTGGCGCATGAGCACGCCGGAGGTGAAAATACCCGAGACTGCTTGCAAAATGGTGCAGAAGTAACATCAATACCAAAAACAAGCTGCAGCGGCTCTGCCAATGCTGCACGATACAAGGCGACATTATGTGTCAAGACGACGGTCCCAAACCTATACGAGAGAAGAACAAGACCACGTTAATAAAAATGCAGGATACCTTCGAAGAGACAAAGAGAAAAGTAAAGACAGCCAGCAAAATCAGATACCGCCACCAAGACAAAGCACGCAGGTGGGACACCAACGAAGCAACCTGATTGTATTGGGTCGTATCGATCACGCCCAAGCGCACCCACTCCAAGATAACCTGACAAAGTGCAGGAGAAGCAGCCAGCCCTACCAGCACCGAACCTTCCCGAAGGGGAAGGAGCCGGCCAATGCCACCACAGGCCACACGACCCGATTGAAATGCCGGATCGAATCGTGGGACCAAGTGCGAGCAAACCGAGCGAGCTCCACTTCCCTCATCGCTCCGTTTACAGCGAAAGAACTGGCTGTTGAAAAAGCAAAAAAGAGAAAAAACCAGTGTTGAATGTAATGAAACGCCATTTTCTGGGCGAGTCCCGGAGGCTCCCCGAAGCTATCCATGATACCTGCTGGATACCTGCTGGATGGGGTTCTGGGAGTTGTTCTACTCCCCAAGCCCAGCCTGAGGCCAGGCTTGACTTGTGAGAGTTTGGTCACCGGCTAGCCATTTATCACTTTAAATTAAATATCAACACATATACATCATTGTGTGGTAATTAGTCCTCCTTCACCATTTTGAGGATTTTCCATAAGGCTTAAATATTCCTTATTCTTACTTCTAGAGAACATCTGTGAAAAATCCACAAATTCGTAAAGTTTCAAATTGCATTAACCCTGCTGCCGCCATTAGCACGAGAACAACAAGGGAGGAGGAGTGTGGAGATGAGAACATGTCAACACCCATAAATGATACAATCTGCTAAGGACCTTTGTTCTGCCTCTTTTGATATCATTAGATTACTTCTATTGCCGTCTACACCTGACAAGTCAAGACAATCAGAACCTCAGCTTTCTTCTATCAGTATTGGATGTGACCTAAAGCACTACTAAGTTCTAAACAAGGTATGTATGAGATTACAGCATCAACATTGGTGACATGGTCAGCAATTTCTCTTTATATATATACTATATTTTTTAAAGCCCATCTTCTCTCGTCTTCTTCAACTCAGGACAAGTAAACCTAACCTAAGAGGAGCTGTTTGGAATAAAACAGCAGCTTGCCCACCTTATTACTTTGGTTTTTCTCTCGTGCCTCGACATCAGAGACTCGACTCGAACAACATTAGGAGCAAATCTACACACCCAACATCATACGCTCGCAAAAACTTTCAAGATGCATCTCACAGTGATTTGCAATATTTGTTTCCACAAAATATTAATATTTGCAAGTGTTGCCTAATGAACATATACAGAACAACAAAATGTCTCACACTTACTTCCTCATCTTCTTGTGAACTACAAGGCTTATTTACTTTCTTAGGATCAATATCCAATTTTCTCCAAGAACAAACTTGTGTTTATCATACCTATTCATAATACAGAGCTTCACAACATGCTGCTACAATACATATTTGACAGGAGGGCTGCTGTACAAGCCCTGCAAATTAAGTTGAATATTTACTCTATATATGCTCACCATGAAATAATTATGTGTATTTGATAAAATAATAAACTACAGTCATTAATAAGGATTGATATTAATAAGGATTAATAATTTGTTGGACAGTGAGATCTGGATTCCAGGATATAACCTATACAGGTGTGATAGGAAAATTAGGTCACATGGAGGAGTGGGTCTGTATATTAGGGAAGACCTTGTATGCTCGGAGCTCCTAAACGTTACAAATGAGGTGGTAGAGGTACTGGGATTAAAAATAGAGAAAATAAATTTAGTGATTATACTAATATACAAACCGCCAGATGCAACGGCTGAGGAATTCACAGAACAGATAAGCAAAATAGAGAATAGCCTTGATAATTTGGAGAACCCGATACCTGATATTATTTTCCTAGGTGACTTCAACTTGCCTAGTCTCAGGTGGAAAATAGCAAACAATAATATTATACCAGGAAATCTATCAGGACCTAACCAACCACAGATTAGAGAACTACTTAGATTCTGTGACAAATTTTCACTCAATCAGCAGATATCGGAGCCAACGAGAAATGAAAATATTCTAGATCTGGTCTTTACGAACAATGAAGAC